AAAAAAAAGAATAAAAAAAAAAAAAAAAAAAAAAAAAAAAAAAAAAAGGAACTGTCTGTCATTAAGCAGTGAAACCATAGGATTGTATCTGACAGATTTGCTAAAATGCACAAAAAAACTCTATGAACCAGCAGTAGCCCTTAGGCTGCTGCTATTATTTTTACCTCTTTATTATATGTAAAAAGCACAGACAGGCTAAATTAATGACCTCAGCCTCAGAGTAAAATAAGAGAAGGAGGATGTCTAGATACCCAGATCAAGTCTGTCAACTAGATTCCCAAATATTTTCTTTCCAAGGCTCCTCATAAAAAAATTATATAGAGAAGTTAAGAATAATAGCATATGATAGATAACACCTTCTCTATGCTTCCATACTACTCACCAAACCAAAGGTAAAGTTAACAATAAAGAGAACTTTAACAAACTGCAAAATACCCACCAATAAATGAAACATGTCGATATCTAATATGCATGGAAGGTCTTCATAGCTATCATTAGGCACCAATGCTACAGATTTAAAGAAAAAGAATTCATTAGCACATTTCATATGCCAACGTATGTTAAAAGGCATAAAACATAGTTTTAATTTATCTTTTTGCAAGTTATATATGAATTAATGAGCCAGAGCTCACATTTAACAAAAACAGTACTACCAAATATTTCATTTCTGAGAAGTTATACAGCTGAAAACAAAATTTCAGATGAGACATTTCCATATCATATATTATAAACATATTAATACTCACATGCAAAAAGTTTACAAAGATGCCCTTGTACCACTGAAAGTGATGCCACTGTCCAATGTGCTGCTGCAAATCTTGTTAGTGACCTGAGACAGTCATCCTGAAATAAAGAAATTGACACAATTATCAAAAGTCAACAAAAGATGTAGCCTTCTTCTTTCAGAAATGCTAATTCAAAGCCCACCTGTATATACAATGACATAGCTATAGATGGTAGGAAAAGGAATCTATGACATCTTAATTTATTATTTTATTCTTTGTAGTACTGGGGATTGAACCCAGGGCCTCACACATGCTAAGCAATTGCTCTACCACTGAGTTATATCTCTAGCCCTTTTCTAAAAAAAAATATGAGACAAGGGGTTTTTCTAAGTTGCTCAAGCTGGCTTCCAACTTGTGATCCTCCTGCCTCAGCTTCCTGTAAAGCTGGGATTATAGGAAAGTGACACCCAGACCTTTCTATTTCATTTTGAGACAGGGTCTGGCTAAGTTGTTCAGGCTGGCCTCAAACATTTGATCCTCTTGCCTCAGTCTCTAAGTAGGTGGGATTACAGGCATATGGCACCACAACTAGTTCATGACATGTCTTTAGCAGAATGAACAGTATGGAAAATATCTAATTATATCCTGAATGAACAAATGTCATCTCCTTGCTGGGTGTGGTGGTACACATCTGTAATTCCAGCAGCTGGGGAAGCTGAGGCCCTAAGTAAACTTGGCGAGACCCTGTCTCAAAATAAAATGTAGAAAAAGGGCTGAAGATGTTGCTCAGGGGTTAAGCAACCCAGGGTTTTAATCCATGGTATCAAAAAGAGTCATCTCCTCATTGGGGAAATAGCTCAGTTGGTAGAGTGCTTGCCTAGCATGCACAAAGCCCTGGGTTCAATCCCCAACACCACCACCTCCTCCACCCCCACCAAAAAAGAGTCATTTCCTTGCCATCATGTTGCCAGTTCTCTCTGGAAAAGAATACCAGTACATGTATCAACAGCTAGCCAGCAACAAACTCTCCCAAGAAGCTGATGCCGTATTTCCTCATATTTATTCTAAAAAGATACTCCAAAGTATAGGAAATACTTCAAACATTGGGGAAACTGTACAAGAAGATGTATACACAAACCAAGGTGTAGGCAGACACACACACACACACACACACAAACAAACAAACAAAAAACTGTTTTTAAGACTAAGTAGTGTGGAGAGGGACAGGCTCCGGAGCCCGGGAACACCTGGCTCTGGACCCTGGATCCCCCGGCCTGGGCGAGCTGCTCAGCTTCTCCTGCCTCCGTCTCCCCACTGTAGTAGGCCTGGGGTTGTTGTTCAGTAGTAGAGCACTTGCCTTGCATGTGCGAGGCACTAAGTTCAATCCTCAGCACAACATAAAAATAAATAAAATAAAGGTACTATGTCCATGTTCAACTAAAAAAAAAAAAAGACTAAGTAGCAAGAACGAGAAAACTCTTAATTGAAAGTGAAAAATACAACCGGTACAAAACTACAGGAAAATAATAATCAAGTATAAATATGTTCATAAAAAAATGTGGACATTGGGCTGGGGATGTGGTTCAGGCGGTAGCGCGCTCGCCTGGCATGCATGTGGCCCGGGTTGATCCTCAGCACCACATACAAACAAAGATGTTGTGTCCGCTGAAAACCAAAATAAATAAATAAATATTAAAAATTCTCTCTCTCTCTCTCACTTTCTCTTTAAAAAAAAAAAATGTGGACAGGGGTGAAGTTGATGCTCTTTTTCTTCCTGCTTATTCTCTATTTTTCAAATTTTCTGTATTGTTTGGCTCAATAAACACTGAAAAGAAAACTCACTCTCTTTCTGCTCACAAGAAGCTTAAAGCTTTGCAGGTGGGAAAAGGAAGAGGAGGAAGGAGACAACTGAAGGTGGTAGTTGTCACTGAAAAGAGATACTTAATTTATAGCATATGGCTCTGAGAGGTATGCCAGGGAAGATAAAGCTTGAAGAGCATCTTAAAGAGTTCTCAGAAGGGGCTGGGGTTGTGGCTCAGCGGTAGAGCACTCGCCTAGCATGTGCAAGGCCCTGGATTTAATCATCGGCACGACATAAAAATTAATAAAATAAAGGTATTGTGTTCAACTTCAACTAAAAAATAAATATTAAAAAAAAGAGTTCTCAGAAGTCTGCTTAAGACACTCTACATATTATTATAAAATAATATGAACAGAATAAAACTAGACAAACTCTGTATTATACACTTATGATTGCCTTTTTAATAGTCAACATATTTATCAATTCTTCTTTTTAATTTTTTAAATATTTATTTTTTAGTCGTAGTTAGATACAATAGCTTTAATTAATTTATTTATTTTTGGCAGTGCTGAGGATTGAACCCAGGGCCTCGCCCATGCTAAGTGAGTGCTCTACCGCTGAGCCACAACCCCAGCCCTATCAATTCTTATACTACAGTAAAAAATACCTTATAGTCAACAATGATCTGATAGTCATATCAATCATATCACATTAATGAAGACTGATGTGGGGCTGGGGGTGTAGCTCAGTGGTAGAGCACTTGTCTAGCACGTGTGAGGCATTGGGTTCGATCCTCAGCACTGCATAAAAATAAGTAAATCAAATAAAGGTACTGCATACATCTATACCTATTAAAAAAAAAACTGATGTGAACTCCCCATTCTGCTGATTTACATAAAGATACAACTCAGACTCTACTCCAAAAGGGCTAGGATATAGCTCAGTTGGTAGTTCACTTGCCCAGCATGCAGAAGGCCTGAGTTCAATCCCCAACACCACAAAAACAAAACAAATATTCCTAAATATTCTAATTAATAAGTCTGAGGGGGCTAACTTTCTATATTTTTTAAAATTTCAAGAGAGGGTTTTAATGCCCAATAATAGCAGAGAACATCTAATGCAAAATCTGTATTCCTAAAACCTCTGAGATTCTAGGTGTTTGCAATGAAAACAAAGCCAGCAAACTAAACAGGTGATGACTGACAACTATATTTTCTACATTGGTTTTTGTTTCTTGATGAGGTCCTCAGTACTGGCTCCTGGGAACTTTTAAAAAAATGTTAATGCTTGGGGTCCATCTCCAGAGACTCTTGTTTAAGTGACCTAGAATAGGGCCTGGTATTTCTCAAAACTTCCCAGGTGATTCTAAATGAATAAAATTGGGTAATTTTTTTCTCAAAGGCATTTTTATGATTATAAGCTTGAACAAGCAGTATACAACACTATCACACTAAGCTACAGAGTAAATATTAGCAAGCCATGATTGTACTCCCTTCCTCATTTTATTCGTACCCAGTTCAACATGAATTTGTACTTACTTATATGTTATTTATTTATAAAAGTGGCCAAATGTGGTAGAGGGTGTGTTCTGTTTATTTCCAATTACAGCATTGAATACCTCAAGAACATGCACTCTTGGTTTTAGTTTCTTTTTATCTTTTCAAGTGCTTAATTAAGCAAGAGATTCAGATGAAAAGAGTTATAGTTACTTTAGAAATTCATTTTTACTTCTAGAAATATCAAGAAAAGTTAAATAATGGGCTGGGGATGTGGCTCAGTTGTAGAACATTTGCCAGGCATCCTGGGGCCCTGAGTTTGATCCCTAGCAACACACATACACACAAGTTAGTCACAAACATTACTTCTTTGATAGCTTTACCAACCCCCCCCCCAAAAAAAAACAAAAAAACAAAGGATTTTACTCTAAAAAGGTGTCAAGGCACGGTTAAAAAAACTTTCAGGTTTGTAAGTTTAAAAGAAGTAAACCACCTACTTTCCATTTCATCCTTTGAATTGAATAAACTCAGAACTTACCAGTCTGCATGGCAAAGGACCAAACAATGGTTTATCTTCATCACTCAGAATTCTTTCTGCAGATTAAAAATGATTAAGATGATAATTTTGCTATGCATACATTTTGTTATGATCATTGAAAAAGTGCAAAACCAACCCTTTCTTTAGAAAGCATAATATTGTCAGGTTTTGAAATCTTTAAGACTTTCATAAGAATTTCATATGAAAAGTAAAAATAAAGCCATATTCCCTCAGTTTATAAGACACTGTAATGTAACTGCCACCAAAACCCATTCTGTTGCTGTGGTTAATTTTTAAAGTGTCAAATTAGCATTGTGTCAGTTTACTATACTTATTATTTCTCCATATTTTTGTCTACTCTTAACACCTCATTGAAAACCAGGACTCTACACAGAATTCCTATCAATGTATGCTTGTGACTTAAAAGAGAAATGACCATCAGTCTCTTACCTATGCTCTGAATGGTGTATGCACAACTACCCCAACACATTATGGGCACCCGGGGATCTTCTTCATTAGGATGAACCTTTAGTCCCACCTTATAAGTAGCAGTTCCAAATGTTGTTAGCATTTCCTTTATGCTCTCAGAATAAGGATTCCTGAAATGGATATATACATAGTAGTTCAAAATAAGTTGTACACATCAATAAAAATGATTCAGTGTTTTCTCTCTCTCTCTCTTTTTTTGTGCCAAGGATTGAACTTAGAGGTGCTTTACCATTGAGCTACGTCCCATCTTTTTTTTTTTTTTTTTTTTTTTTTTTTAAAGAGAGAGAGAGAGAGAGAGAGAGAGAGAGAGAGAGAGAGAAAATTTTTTAATATTTTTTTTTTTTAGTTTTCGGTGGACACAACATCTTTATTTTATTTTTTTTATGTGGCGCTGAGGATCGAATCCAGCACCCCGCACATGCCAGGTGAGCGCATTACCGCTTGAGCCACATCCCCAGCCCCTGTCCCATCTCTTTTTAAAAAAATTTTTTGTTTTCAGACAGGGTTTTGTGAATTGCCCAGGCTGACCTTCAACTTATAATCCTCCTGCTTCAATCTCCCAAGCTGCTGAGATGGCAGGTGTGTGCCACTGTGCCCAGTGAAAGAGTTCAGTTTCTTTATTTTTTAAAAGTTTGTTCTTTTTAGTTATACATGAAAGTAGAATGTACTTTAACATATTACACATACATGGAATAAAACTTCCCATTCTTGTGGTTGTACATGATGTGGAGTTACACTAGTCATGTATTCATATATGAAGATAGGAAAGTTGGGCTGGGGCTCAGTGGTAGAGCACTCGCCTAGCACATGAGAGGCCCTGGGTTTGATCCTCAGCACCACATAAAAATAAATAAATAAAGATATTGTGTGCAACTACAACTAAAAAACAAATATATTTAAAAAAAAAAACATAGGAAAGTTTTGTCTGATTCATTCCACTATCTTTCCCATTCCCATCCCCCAACAGTTCAGTTTCTTAAACGCACTTTCCCATATAGGAAATGAACCATTTAACATGTATTTAGAGATAATTATATGTAAAAGAATAATCTGGGACAGCAAACTGTCCCACTGTCCCTGCCTGAGAGGAGTTTTGCTCTTTGGGTCAGCAGCTGGGAGGAATAAAGTTGCAAACAAGGCAATAGACAAAAGTCTACAGAATGAACTATGGGGCCCTTAGCCCTCTTTCAGTGATGCATACCCACTGCCACACACTGCTTTTTCCAGTGAAGAATTCTAAGGAGCAAGTTGTTCTACACAACTGAGACTAGTGATGGCTTGATCACCTGGCTGTGAGGCTCACAAGTCAACAAGCTCTAAGTTATCCATCAAGTACCCAATGACCTCCTTACTGTCAAAGATCAACTAACATTTAAAAACATCAAAGAGATAAATCAAAACAAGCAGGGGGGAAAAAAAGAAGAAGAAGAAGAAGATATCAGGGAAAACAGAGATAAGTTAAAAGAAAATCAGCCAGGCAGTTGTAATCTCAGCAGCTTGGAAGCTGAGGCAGGATTGTGAGTTCAAAGCCAGCCTTAGCAACTTAGTCCTTAAGCAACTCTGCAACTTCCTGTCTCTAAATAAAATATAAGAAAGAGCTGGGGATATAGCTTAGTGTTTAAGTGACCCTGGGTTCAATTCCTGGTAATTAATAAATAAATAAATAAATACGAAAAGAATTTAGAGGATCAATCTAAGAAGGATAATGGTGAGCTGTTAGTAATACTACTCAAAGAACAGAAAATGAAAGGAGAAAATTATCTAAGAAAGTACAAACAACAAATAAAAAAAACTCTCAGAAATAAAGACACCTATCTTTGGATTCAAAAGGCTTACTGAAAACAACTAAATAAATGAAAAAAGATTCACATAACAAGAAATGTCAGAGAAATTTAACTCTGGGGACAGAAGGTCCCAACTGTTTCTAGAAGTAATAAAGTTGCGCAACAGAAGTCATAATGGCATTACCTTCTCAATGGATCCTAGAAGTTAGAAAAACAATGCCTTCAAAATCTAGATGAAATATTACTTCTAACCTAGATTTCCACACACAAATTATCAATCAAGCTTATGGATATAATAAACATTACTGGGGCTGGGATTGTGGCTCAGCGGTAGACTGCTTGCCTAGCATGCGCGGGACCCGGGTTCAATCCTCAGCACCACATAAAAATAAAGGCATTGTGTTGTGTCCATCTACACATAAAAAATAAATATAATAATAATAATAATAAACATAAACATTACTTCAGACATGAAAATTTAACATCTAGGTATCCTTTCTTGGGACTCTGAAGAATCTATCAGTTCAGAGGGAGTAAGGAAAGATGAAGATATATGATCTAGAAAACAAGAGGAGCATGATCAGGGAAAAGCTCCAGGGGGAATGGTACAGGAGGATAGAGCTGTGAAGCTGTGTTGGGGAGGGCTCCAGGACAGAGTGTATGATAGGTCTGAGCAGTTATAAACTCAATTGCCAGGCTTCTGACAGACCAATTGCACCATTCAGAAACAAAACAAAACAAAACAAAAACAGCTAGAAATATATACATACATATATATATATATATATATATACACACACACACACACACACACACACACATATATATATAAAATCAAGTACAGGAAAAGGTAATTATTAACTATAGGAAAGACAAAAGGAAATACAATATGCAACTTATATCAGAAGAGACAGTTCTAAATACTGACAATTGATTTAACCAAAATATGATATAATTTACCAGTCAACAGAAAGATAATGTTGAATTAGAAATATGGAGGTAAATACTAGAAGAGACAAGTAAAATGACAGAATTGGGGGTGGAGAGAGGAGCATGGGAGATAGAGGACTGATGTTTGTTTCCTATTAAAGCCATTAAATTCTCTATGCATTGAATTACTTAGTAAACACCAGGGACAGATTCCAGGTGGTTATACATGCATGTCACCTTACCCTCATAATAACTGAGTCATCCTTACTTTACAGATGAGGGAATTGGGGTTTAAAGAGGTTAAGCAATTTGCTTAAAGTTACAGTTAACAAGCATTGGTGCTGGGAACTGAACCAAGTAGTCTAGTTAAAAATCTATACATTTTGTAATTAATTGGCTATGGGGTAAAAACAGGATTGAAAATACTGGGTTACTAAGAGTTTTATGGGTCCATAGTAGAAACATGGAAGTCAGAAGTTTAGTGGGGAAACTGAGTAGTTTGTGGAGTTATATGTCCTGATGAGATATCAAGGATCCTTAGATGGAAACTGCAGGAAGTTGGCAATGCAAAATAGAAGAGGTTGATAAGAGTCAAACATGCCACATGGTTTAGATTTTTTTTTTCCAATATACTGAAACAAATACCATCCTGGAATTCAAGATCAGTATTCAAGATCCGTATTCTGTAACATTTGCTTTCTAGCTTGCCAAATCATATTGCTACTACCTGCTGACTTAATTTCAAATGGACTAAATATAAAAGAAGTAAAATAATATACTCACTTAGGATGAAAATTAGGCCTGAACCCTTCAGGGAGCTGTAATTCACCCATATTCTCTGAATTCTTTGAAGAGGCAGTATCTATAGAAACAGGCATTTTATACCATTATTTAATAGATCGCAACACTTTTCTATGTTTCGGTCATGTAGGCAAAAAACAAAAACAAAAACCAGGAAAAAAATGTTCCATTAATAAACACTGGCATAATATCCATATAAAGCATGAAAAATACCATTGCTTTGGTTGAATGAGGTACTTTCTTCAATTACTTAGGCTTTTCCTCGTGATAGAGTCAAAAGAACATGCTATTTTGTTTTTGTGAAAACCAATGATATAAATTCTGCTCATATTGTTTCTCCAAAGTCATAAGTGCAATGCACCTTCTATGAAACTTGGGGAGCCTTTGATGCAGCTAACAATAAAGCCCACCATGAACTACAGTTAGCCTTTTAATAATCTCCTTCATCCCAGAAGATTATTGACAAAATGGAATAAGTGGGAAATATTTTCCATAAATTCCCATGAGCTTGTATATTTTTAAGGTATGAAAAGTAACGCAGTAAGATAAAATTCAGTTGTCAAGACAAAGAAAATTAAAATGAATCAAAATTTTAAATGGAATCTTTCTCTTTTAAATGATTTCTTCTGAAAATATATTTTCCAATCATTTCAGACTTCAGAGGAAAAAAATAAAGAAAATGGGTTACCAGAACTTACTGGGAGTGCTTTCTTCTTTCCTAAGAACCTGTAATGCTTTTATTTGCTGAGATATTGTTCTAATCCATTGACTCAGATTTGGTTGGTCTGAAAAATTTGACCTGCTAGAAAAGATTATAGAGAACATATAGTACTTTATTTGTAGTTACTAAATATACAAAAGACTTCTTAAATCATCACAGGTAAGTACTTTTGACACATTTCAATTTTTTTTTTTTTTTTTTTAAAGGCAAGAGGAAATTTGCTGCCTTAAAAAAACCTGAATAGGGCTGGGGCTATAGCACAGTGGTACAGCGCCTGCCTCGCACATGTGAGGCCTGGGTTTGATCCTCAGCACCTCATAGAAATAAATAAATAAAGATATTGTGTCCATATACAAAAAAAAAAAAAATAAATAAATCCCTGACTGGTCAATGGAAATAAAAACATTAAGGTCATTAGGTGGTAATAACATTGTTTAAAACTTTACTTTCAAGCCAGATGCAGTGGTGCATGCCTGTAATCCCAGCAATTTGAGAGGCTGAGATAGGAGGATCATGAGTTCAAAGGCAGCCTCAGCAAATTATCGAGACCTTGTCTCAAAATAAAATATAATAAGGGCTTAGGAATGTGGCTAAATGCCCCTGAGTTCAATCCCTGGTACCAACAAAACAAAACTTTATTTTTTTCAGTGCTGCAATTTGCTGGAATTTCTTAAATATCATAATCAATACCACTAATATTTATTAAGTGCTCACTATGTGACAAGCTATTAGCAAAAGCACTTTACTGTAAGCCTCTCACAGTATTAGATTTAATCCTCAAATATTCACATTTATATATTACTGTCTCTATTTTACTGATGAGGAAACTGAGGTTTAGAGCTATGTAACTTGAATAAGGCCACAAGACACAAGGTGGCATTCAAATTCAGTTCTGTTAGACTCCAAAGACTGTATTCTTTTTGTATTATTACTGTCTTCAATTATAACTAAAACATACTTGACTCTCATGGGATAAGAAAATAAAAAACGGAACCACCAAAGCTGCAGGTGAAAGTCAACAAGTATGATTTCTCCCTATATGCAGTAAATCTATAATCATAATGATTATTATTTATTTGTATGTGTGGTGCTGGGGATTAAATCCAGGGCTTTGCACATGCTATATAAGTGCTCTACCACTAGAGCTATGTTCCTAGCCCAGTGATTAATTTCTTTATTTCCTCATTCTTTTATTGGTGCACTACAATTGTACTACCGATGGGTTTTGTTTCATATATTTGTACATGCACACAATATAACAATATAATTTGGCCAATATCACTCCCCAGCATTTTTAATGATTAATTTTTTATTAGTTCAAATGAAGGTGTCAATATGCACCACCACATTCCTTTATATTAAAACACATCAGCTTACATTGAAACCTACTGTGGTAGCATAGATTAAAACGTCAAAGTGTGAACTCATAAAATTCAAAGAAAAACCTGACTCTGCTTTGAATTGAATGCAAATAATTATACAGAAATAAATGACTTATATTCATAAAACTTAAATTAGTACAGGTTGAATATCACTTATCCAAAATGCTGTGACTAGAAAGAAGTATTTCAGATTTCGGATATTTTCTGATTTTGGAATATTTATGTATAGCACCCCTAATCTGAAAATTCAAAATCTAAATCCTCCAAAATCTGAAATTTCTTAAGTGTCATGTAGGTCCATTTCAGATTAGATATTTACAACCTGTATTTGTGCATATAAAGCAGATAGGAGAATTCTAAATTGAGAAATGAAGTTCAGATTTCAATAGTATACAGTATCAAATTAACGTGAAATGAGTATGTCCAGTACTGCTATTGAAGTACCCTAAAAGTGTCTAGTTAAGTTGCCTAGACTGGTTTTGAACTTGTGATCTTCCTGCAAGGAGGCACCCTTGGGTGGCTCAGGAACTTTCCATTTTAAACACCTTGTTAAGGCTGGGTGTGGTGGTGCACACCTGTAATTCCAGCAATTCACGAGGCTGAGAAAGAAGGATTGCAAGTTCAAGGCCAGCCTCAGAAACTTAGTGGTATCCTGTCTCAAAATAAAAAATAAAAAGGGCTGAGGATGTAGTTCAGTGGTTAAGTGACCCTGGGTTTAATCCCCAGTACCTCTCAAAACAACAAAAACAAATAAAAACAAAACACATTGTTACTGTTTGAATATGCAGTGTCCTCCCAAATCTCCTGGGTTAATGTACCAATGTTGAGAGGTGAAATGACTAGATTATGAGAGCTGTAACCTAATCAGTCCTTCCCAGTTTGAACAGACAAACTGGGTAGTAACGTTAGGCAGGTGGGGCATGGCTGGAGGAGGTGGGTTACTGGGGCCATGCCCTTGAAAAGTTCACCTTCCCTGAGGCGCCCCTTCCTCTTTCAGCTTCCTGACCACCAAGAACAGAAATCTTTCCTCTACATCCATAATCCATGATGCCCTACCTCACCTTGGGCCCAGAGAGACAGAACCTGCAGACCATGGACTGAACCTCTGAAGTCATGAGCCCAAATAAATGTTTCCTCCTCTAAGTTGTCTTGTTAGCTATTTTGGACACAGTGAGAAAAGCTGACATACACATCAACAGATTTTCATGTTACCAGTTTTACTGAGCATTTTTTATAAAACGTGAGGGAGATATTTAAAGTAAAGTGCCTAGATTAAAAAAAAAAAAAGTCTTATGGGCACTTTGCCTAGCATGTGTGAAGCACTGGGTTCAATCCTTAGCACCATGTAAAAAATAAACAAAGTAAGGGCATTCTGTCTATCTACAACTACAAAAAATAAAAATAAAAAAGACTTATTTTTCATGAATACACAGAGATTTTATATCTTCTATAGTATTTATGGGTGAATAAGAAACCTGAATTTTGGCCTGTTCCTCCCTGAAAATCAAAATCATAACCCATAGGTAGTTAGAAGTAATAACTAGATGAAGTTATTTTATTTCCCAGGAAAGTACCTGGAAAACATTATGCAATTACCTATGGAGAGTTTCTTATTATTATTATCTTGAAAACAAACTATTGCTTTATTCTAAGGCATCATGAGTCAAAACTTACCTGTTAAAAATATTTCTTGGAGGGAGCAACAGAGGAATAACAGTATTACTCAAGCATTCACAAAGCGGGCAAAGGAACTCTCCATTTTCTACATCATAACTTGTATGTAAGCGTAACCTCTGTTGCCTTCGCTGCTCTTTAGCTTGAACGGAATCAAAATACCTTTACAATTAGAGAACAGGAGGCATCAAAAAAAATGGTAATTTATTTCAACAAAAGTCATAAGCATCAACATTTTAAGGATTTGTTTCTACAAATCCTTAAAAAATAAACTGAATTATTTTAACACTGGTACTATAATTTTTAAGTTGTTTTAACAATCAAAATGGATTAACAGTTTTAAAACAGGAAGAAAAAAAATGACTTGCAAACAAGTACTTTAGAAGCAACAACAGAAACTTCTGATATGATGGCTGTCTGGTTACTTCCACAGGGCTGACTTGTTTGGGGCAGTTCATGATAACTCAGTAAGCACAGTGCTAGGATAATAATACTGACTTGTTGATTTTCAGAAGCATAGAAAGTATCAAGGAAGAACAAATTTAGTGTTATCTCATCCTAACATAGCTTACAGACCTTGGGGAGTAACAAAGTAAGGACTAACATCATTAGAATCAAGAGCTATTCACCTTGGATCTGAGGAAAGACAAAATTATTTTTCTAGAGCTTATCCCATTGTAAAAAGCCTTTTTTCCCCCTCTAGTTTATTACCTAACACAGATCTACACCCTTCTTTGGAGGGATAACAAAGAGACAGATATAAAACTACACCAAAAAATATATTTGACATACTTTGAAATTTCTAATAACTCCTTTATACCTATGACAAAACAAATCACTTTCATTATTAGGCAAACAATATGGAGTTTTTCTTTCAACACCTTAAGTTCTTTTTCATTTTCATCTACAGTGGAATTTCCTTTATTTAAAAATTCAATTTTGCACCTTCAAATAAGCTAGTATTAAGAATATAAATTACCTTTGCCAACAATGGGCATGCATAATGTGCCCACAGCTACCTGTGTGTGTTCCGCAAGACAGATCAGGGTGCATGAATAATGGATCATATTTTTCTGCATTATAAAACAAACAAAAACAAAACAACAACAAAATCCAAGCATTTAGTTTTCCTATAATAAATGTGCAACTTTAAATTTGTGAAATCCTTGATAAGGACTTGTAAACTTGAAATGAAATGCTAATTTTTTCCTTTCATTTAGGCTATCAATAATTTTTCTTAGGGTCAAGACCCTGGATTATTTAGGAAGCTGAACTATCTAATTTTCATCACTTTGAGAAAATTAATTAAACATTCCCATCTGCAAACTGAAATTGGAACTCTGTATTTAAGTAGTTAGTCCTCCATATTCTTGAGTTCCACATCCATAGATTCAATCAAAGGGAGAACAAAAATATTAGGGGAAATAAAATTGTACCTGTATTGATAAACAAACTATTCCTTATCATTATTCCCTAAACTTACAGTGTAACAACTATTTACACAGAATTAACATTGTATAAGGTAATTAAGTAATCCAGAGATGATTTAAAGTATACAGAAGGATGTACACTGGTTACATGCAAATACTATGCCATTTTGTTTGTATAAGGGACCTGAGTGCGTGAAAATTTTGGTGTCCATTGGGGTTCCTGAAACCAATTCCCAAGACTACATGTTCAATCTTTGGGCATCCAGAGATTCTAATTCCCTCCATCATGTCGTCATGCCCTGAGCTTAAGGTAAAAAGGTTAGTCTTCATGGGACTGTGTGTTACAATGAACTCTAATAAAAAAGATGTTCTGACAATAAAGGGTGCTCCCTAGAAGACTCTGCCTATAAAGACACTCATGCATATAATAATCACAGTCACTGTACTAGAGCCAAACTGATAAAAGAATTATCTAAGCTTATACTACATCAGATGAGAAGGAAAATTAATTCAGAATTTTTTGTTCTGGGTATTAATTTTTATATTCAAAAGGAGAAGACAAGATAAATATCTTCTTGAGTTTTTTGAGTTTTCTATATATATTAATATAACTCTAAAATTCCATAATACTCTAGAAAGAATTACTAGAGTTTCAATATGCTTTATATATCAGGACAATGAAAATATAAAAACATAAAGAAAATCTTTTATGATATAAACTGTGAAAATATTTGGAAAATCCACTTATAGCCAGTCTTTTCTTTCGCAATATGTTAAACAAAATTAGGAACTCTATCTTTGACTCAGAATAAATTTATAAAGCACACAGTTCAAAGAACCATTTTTTAAAGATGAAACTTTTTTTTTTTTTTTTTTAGTAACTGGGATGCTTCAAGAGTCACATTATGAAGATTTTGCTTGTAGAGAGATTGCAACCCTACCAGTGGGCCCTTTAACCTTCTATTCTTCAATGTGAGCTCTTGAACCTTCTTTACTGTGAAAGTGTTTTGGAAATTCCTAATTTGGAAATTCCTGGTTAAAGAAATGCTTTGGAAATTCCTAAGACAGTTTCTTACTCTCAAAGTTGATTGGTTATCACACGTAGGAATATACACATAGTAAACAAGCTAAAGATGACAAACATAAAGGTGTGCTGTTCAGATCTCCCTGTGGGAATGAATGATACTCCTTTCAAGTCTTGGAAGAATATTTATTATCCATCTTTGAGAGAAAACTGGCTGGGCCTCCTTTCATGGTGATTTGCAACCAGTCATTTATCAGATTTAGGGTAAAAGATACAGTTTTCTCACCCCAATTCAGGGTAATTCTGATAGGTTATCAGGCTCCAGAGTTCCCATTAGGCTGGCTGAGGCCCTTTGGGGACTACATTATAGCTCAATGTCTCACTTTGCTCAAATCTGCTTCTTTTCTTTCTAAAGATGTTGATCCCAAGGCTCTCCCTAATAAAAGTCCTGCACAGTAGTCTCTGTTTCAAAATGCTCCTTTCTGGGGAACCTATTTGTGGTAGATATCACTATTCTAAGTCCAAATCTGGCTCTAGGCTTGCTACTCTCATAGGTAACTCACAGCACTGTTCTCAATAATCCATTCTGGCTCTATCTATGAGACAAAGTAATTACTATTATTTCAATGTATCAACAAAGTATGGACTTTACAAGTATGCTGAATGACAGGAAAGACGATTAAATACCACAGTATGTTACTATCACATCACAAGAAAAGCTTTTATTTGAATTTCTCCTATTTATCAGTTGTGTGCTTCTGGCTTGATATTTAACTGGTAGAGGGGTTCCATATCTATCTAAGTTAATTCCTGACAACTCACCTGCTAAAGATAGCACCATACCTCTGGAGTTAATGTTAGATCAATAAAATCTCTAAACACTAACAACCACATTAATTGGCAGTCATTATTAAGAGGATAAGGACCTGGCTATGACTTACCTGGATCCTGAATAAATTTTCTTCTGTTTTTTGACAATACAGTTGATCTTTGAACAAATGCTGCTAAGACCATTGCCCTGCTTTCCACTTTAACTTCTTGTTCTTCTTGACACAATATACAGGTAACAAACTGTCTTTGTTCAGGGACCTGAGTTTGTGCTGGGCCCAGTGCTATAAGTTTCACATCTGAAACCACAGGGCTGTAACAAAAAGGTTATGAACATAATGAATTAGTGTAAAAGGTTTCTATAGAATCATAAAACAGTAGACTCCAGGTATGTACCTTTTTTTTTTTTTTTTTGAGAATCTACTAAGAATTTTTATCGTGCAAATAAAAGATCATAATAGAAGACAAATAAATTAGTTGTTCTGACAATTTTGGACTTTAGTGCTTCTCTATGAGAGGGTCAGTTCCTATGTAAACAAAAATCAGCTGGGATTGTGGCTCAGAGGTAGAGCACTCGCCTAGTGTGGGCGGGACCCGGTCTGATCCTCAGCATCACATAAAAATAAAGGTATTGTCGCCCGCGCCCGGAACAGGCCCAGCGAACCGCTGGCGTGGTAGTCACGTCACCCCAATTGGAGTACGGGCAGAGCACAGCCGCCTCCCGCGCCCGGAACAGGCCCAGCGACCCGCCGGCGTGGTAGTCACGTCACCCCAATTGGAGTAAGGGCAGAGCAGAGCCGCCGCCCGCGCCTGCAAGGTAGGCAGACCTGCCACCGACCGGCAGAACAGGCCCAGGGGTCCGCGGGCGTGGTAGACACATCACACCAATTGGAGGAGGGGCAGAGCAGAGCTGCCGCCCGCGCCTGCAAGGTAGGCAGACCTGCGACCGACCGGCAGAACAGGCCCAGCGACCCGACAGCGTGGTAGACCGATCACCCCAATTGGAGGAGGAGCACAGCTGCTGCCCACCCCTGCAAGGGAGACTTTTCAACTATACAAGAGCAATATAAATATATAGAGGGAAAATTTCAATAACACAACAGTTTCACCAAGCAGAAAGAAACGCGAGCAGTATGAAAAGACAAGTAAAGAAAGGACCACAAGCAATGCAGGTCAACTCAACTTTAGAAGAGGTAATAGCTGCAGCAGATGGAATGTCAGATAAAGAATTCAGGATATACATGCTTCAGATGATCCGGAGTCTCAAGGAAGACATTAGACAGCAAAATCAGACAATGAAAGATCACTTCGACAATGAATTACATAAACAAATCCAAGAAGCAAAAGATCAACTATACAGGGAGATAGAGGTTATAAAAAACAAACAAACAGAAATCCTAGAAATGCAGGAAGGAATAAACCAACTTAAAAACTCAATTGAGAATACTACCAGCAGAGTAGAACACTTAGAAGATAGAACATCAGACAATGAAGACAAAGTATTTCAACTTGAAAAGAACATAGACAGCTCAGCAAGACTGTTAAGAAACCATGAGCAGAACATCCAAGAAATATGGGATAACATAAAGAGACCAAACGTAAGAGTCACTGGGATACAGGAAGGTATAGAGGTCCAAACCAAAGGAATGAGCAATCTATTCAATGAAATAATACGAGAAAACTTCCCAGACTTGAAAAATGAGACAGAATCCCAAATCCTAGAAGCCTACAGGACGCCGAATGTGCAAAATCATAAGAGATCCACACCTAGACACATTATAATGAAGATGCCCAACATACAGAATAAGGAGAGAATTTTAAAAGCTACAAGAGAAAGGAAGCAGATTACATTTAGGGGTAAACCAATCAGGATAACAGCTGATCTTTCAACACAGACTCTGAAAGCTAGAAGATCCTGGAATAACATATTTCAAACACTGAAAGAAAATGGGTTCCAACCAAGAATTGTGTATCCAGCGAAATTAAGCTTCAGGATGGAATATGAAATTAAAACCTTCCACGATAAACAAAAGTTAAAAGAATTTGCAGCTAGAAAACCATCTCTTCAAAACATCCTTGGCAAAACATTATAGGAAGAGGAAATGGAAAATAACAATGAAAACCAACAGTGGGAGGTAGTACAGTAAAGGGGGGAAAAATAATCAAAGCGGAAAACAAACCATGTTTAGTAACATAAATAAACAAATATGGCTGGAAGAACAACCCATATCTCAATAATAACCCTAAATGTTAATGGCTTAAACTCACCAATTAAGAGACACAGGCTAGTAGAATGGATCACAAAACAAGACCCAACAATATGCTGCCTACAGGAGACGCATTTGATAGGAAAAGACATACATAGACTGAGGGTGAAAGGTTGGGAAAAATCATATCACTCATATGGACTCCGGAAACAAGCGGGAGTGTCCATGCTCATATCAAATAAAATAGATTTCATGCCAAAGTTAATCAAAAGGGATAAAGAGGGACACTACATACTGCTCAAGGGAACCATACACCAACAAGACATAACAATCATAAATATATATGCCCCAAACAATGGTGCAGCTATGTTCATCAAACAAACTCTTCTCAAGTTCAAGAGTCTAATAGACCACTATACAATAATCATGGGAGACTTCAACACACCTCTCTCACCACTGGACAGATCTTCCAAAAAAAAGTTGAATAAGGAAACTATAGAACTCAATAACACAATTAATAACCTAGACTTAATTGACATATATAGAATATACCACCCAACATCAAGCAGTTACACTTTTTTCTCAGCAGCACATGGATCCTTCTCAAAAATAGATCATATATTATGTCACAGGGAAACTCTTAGACAATACAAAGGAGTAGAGATAATACCATGCATCCTATCTGATCATAATGGAATGGAACTGAAAATCAACGATAAAAGAAGGAAGGAAAAAGAATATATCACTTGGAGAATGAACAATAGGTTACTGAATGATCAATGGGTTATAGAAGACATCAAGGAGGAAATTAAAAAATTCTTAGAGATTAATGAAAACACAGACACAACATATCGGAATCTATGGGACACATTGAAAGCAGTTCTAAGAGGAAAATTCATTGCTTGGAGTTCATTCCTTAAAAAAAGAAAAAACCAACAAATAAATGATCTCATACTTCATCTCAAAATCCTAGAAAAAGAAGAGCAAAACAACAGCAAAAGAAGTAGAAGGCAAGAAATAATTAAAATCAGAGCTGAAATCAATGAAATCGAAACAAAAGAAACAATTGAAAAAATTGACAAAACTAAAAGTTGGTTCTTTGAAAAAATAAACAAAATCGACAGACCCTTAGCCATGCTCGCGAAGAGAAGAAGAGAGAGAACTCAAATCACTAACATACGGGATGAAAGAGGCAATATCACAACAGACACTTCAGAAATACAGAAGATAATCAAAAAGTATTTTGAATCCTTATACTCCAATAAATTAGAAGATAGTGAAGGCATAGATAAATTTCTTAAGTCATATGATCTGCCCAGATTGAGTCAGGAGGATATAGACAACCTAAACAGACCAATATCAATTGAGGAAATAGAAGAAACCATCAAAAGACTACCAACTAAGAAAAGCCCAGGACCGGATGGGTATACAGCAGAGTTTTACAAAACCTTTAAAGAGGAACTAATACCAATACTTTTCAAGCTACTTCGGGAAATAGAAAAAGAGGGAGAACTTCCAAATTCATTCTACGAGGCCAACATCACCCTGATACCTAAACCAGACAAAGACACTTCAAAGAAAGAAAACTACAGACCAATATCTCTAATGAACTTGGATGCAAAAATCCTCAATAAAATTCTGGCCACTCGGATACAAAGGCACATCAAAAAAATTGTGCACCATGATCAAGTAGGATTCATCCCTGGGATGCAAGGCTGGTTCAATATAAGGAAATCAATAAATGTTATTCACCACATCAATAGACTTAAAAATAAGAACCATATGATCATCTCGATAGATGCGGAAAAAGCATTCGACAAAGTACAGCATCCCTTTATGTTCAAAACTCTAGAAAAACTAGGGATAACAGGAACATACCTCAATATTGTAAAAGCAATCTATGCTAAGCCTCAGGCTAGCATCATTCTGAATGGAGAAAAATTGAAGGCATTCCCTCTAAAATCTGGAACAAGACAGGGATGTCCTCTCTCACCACTTCTGTTCAACATAGTTCTCGAAACACTGGCCAGAGCAATTAGACAGACGAAAGAAATTAAAGGCATCAAAATAGGAAAAGAAGAACTTAAATTATCACTATTTGCAGATGACATGATTCTATACCTAGCAGACCCAAAAGGGTCTACAAAGAAACTATTAGAGCTAATAAATGAATTCAGCAAAGTGGCAGGATATAAAATCAACACGCATAAATCAAAGGCATTCCTGTATATCAGCGACAAATCCTCTGAAATGGAAATGAGGACAACCACTCCATTCACAATATCCTCAAAAAAAAATAAAATACTTGGGAATCAACCTAACAAAAGAGGTGAAAGACTTATACAATGAAAACTACAGAACCTTAAAGAGAGAAATAGAAGAAGATCTTAGAAGATGGAAAAATATACCCTGTTCATGGATAGGCAGAACTAACATCATCAAAATGGCGATATTACCAAAAGTTCTCTATAGGTTTAATGCAATGCCAATCAAAATCCCAACGGCATTTCTTGTAGAAATTGAGAAAGCAATCATGAAATTCATATGGAAAAATAAAAGACCCAGAATAGCAAAAACAATGCTAAGCAGGAAGTGTGAATCAGGCGGTATAGCGATACCAGACTTCAAACTATACTACAGAGCAATAGTAACAAAACCAGCATGGTACTGGTACCAAAACAGGCGGGTGGACCAATGGTACAGAATAGAGGACACAGAAACCAATCCACAAAACTACAACTATCTTATATTTGATAAAGGGGCTAAAAGCATGCAATGGAGGAAGGATAGCATCTTCAACAAATGGTGCTGGGAAAACTGGAAATCCATATGCAACAAAATGAAACTGAATCCCTTTCTCTCGCCATGCACAAAAGTTAACTCAAAATGGATCAAGGAGCTTGATATCAAATCAGAGACACGGCGTCTGATAGAAGAAAAAATTGGCTATGATCTACATACTGTGGGGTCGGGCTCCAAATTCCTCAATAGGACACCCATAGCACAAGAGTTAATAACTAGAATCAACAAATGGGACTTACTCAAACTAAAAAGTTTTTTCTCAGCAAAAGAAACAATAAGAGAGGTAAATAGGGAGCCTACATCC